ATGAAGCAGGGATTATTTAAATCCCCGCTTCTTTGACTATGCCGAATAAACTATTTTACATGGCTCTGTCGACAGAGCCAAGTAGTCTAGACGTAGCCTGAGAGAACAGGTTTCAGCATCTAGGACCAACATCCATTGCCCCTTACCAGCTTGCTCCAGGTGGCTTATGGTGCAGCTGATCTGGGCTGAGTTCATGTCCCCATCCCTGGCATCTTCCCAGCCATCCCTTTCAGACCCGTAAGGGTAAACGGACAGAGGAGGCTTCTCCCTGCAGATCACAGCACTGGGGGACTTCATGGTCCAGTGTTCCCTTGGCCAGAGGGTCTCTCAGAATGTGATCAAGGGGAGGTCGGTGCTGCCACCATCACTAGGGGCATCTCATTTGGCTCGTCAACACCTAGAAGGCAACACAGAAGGGCAGAGAAAGGAGAAAACCACGCAAGGACGTCCAACTGCTGCAAAGCCATTCGCCCAGGAGCATGGCCAGAGACCATCATTGCCAGCTGCTGCCGGGATTCCTTATGAGACTGCTGCGCTGGAGGCACCAAATCCAACAGCAGCAAAGAGCAAGAGGCAGGAGCAGACACGCTGACGGCTGCAGCTTTGTAAGAGAACAGGGCAAAGCTGCTCCAAAGGAGCCAACTTCCAACCAAGGGTTTTTTGGGTCAACATTACAATTTTCTACCCAAACTAAACTGTGGATTTTTTTCTTCCAGGGCTCTGACCAGCTCTAGATTAGGGAGCAGAGGGGGAGAGAATTTTGACTTTGGGAGAGGAAAAAAGAAAGGGATGGGCATGTGGTCTAGTGGTTAGAGCAGTGGGCTGGGAGCCAGGGCTCTGGAGTTTTCTCCCCAGCTCTGGGATGGGAAAGTGTCTCGGGGAAGGAAAGCTCAGTGGTTTGAGCATGACCTGCTGAAACTCAGGATTATGAGTTCAATCCTCTAGGGTCCCATTTAGGGATCTGGGGTAAATCTGTCAGGGATGGTACTTGGTCCTGCCATGAGGGCAGGGGACCAGACTCAATGACCTCTCAAGGTCCCCTCCAGCTCTACAAGATAGGTATATCTCGCGCTTTGCCAAGACCATGATTTTTTTTCTGACCCATTCTATACCTTTGAGTTATACAGAGAAGAGTCCATAACATGGAGCCATCTCTTCAGGGGAACATTATGGCACGGATGGAGCCCTGGAAAACAGATCACAGCCATGGAAACTGGCAGGTCTTTGTCTCCTGGCAGTACAGATGAGAGCAGCTTAAGAATTAGATGGACGGGATGAAAGTCCCCCATGCGCTTTGCCCTGTTTGAATGGAAGGTGATGACGAGACGTACCAAAACCTGCCACCCTCCCTGAGCTGTTAGGTAACAAACCACATTTCCCTAGGGGCCAGCAGATGCAGCAACCTCTGCCGTTAGTATTTTGGTGCTGAAAGTTGCAGTGAGTTAAGCACCTGCCTTGGGAGGTTCACAGGGCTGTTTTGTTAACAGCATTTAGAGATCCCTTGAGCGTGGGAGGAGGGAAGCTCCGATGAGGGGCTTGAATGAGAGAAGCCCCCTGGGGTGGTATCCCATCTAGTCGTCAGGGGAGCAAGGTGCCCTGATATCTCCCCACCTTTCCACAGACAGAGTGAGTTGCCCAAGGTCATGCGGCAAGTCTCTGTGGAAGGCGGGTTTAGAATCCAAGAGCCCTGCTCTAACCTCTAGGCCATACTATCTGAAGTGCCAACCAAAGCCACATGGGCAAACAGCAGAGGCTGACAGATGGCCCCACGCTGGCGAACAGCAGGCCGAGGAGAGAGGGGCTCGGTTTGAAGGCACAGCAAACGCCACAGTCTGCACCTGCGAAACGCTCAGCCAGCCCCGCCAGCAGTCGAAGGGGCAAGTCTTGGTGTTTCAAACCGGACGACCTTTCGGGGCCTGAATTCAAGCCCTACAAGTACCCCTGCAATGGCCCTCTCCTGGCGGAGGGGACTGAGTGCAATCCAGCACCCAGTGCTTGGTAAGAGCGTGATCAAGCACGTCCCACCAGCTCCTGGTCTCTCTAGGGGAGACTTTTTCAGAAGGCCCAAAGGGCAGCTCAGAGAATGTGAGACGGAGGGGGGCAGCACTCATTGGCCAGGGCATGGGAGAAAGCTCCCACCGGCGGCAGAATCTCAGTCCTTGCCTTCAGGGCAGAGTTTATTTCTCGGAACAAAAACAATCCCATACACGTTATTAGGCAGATCATCAGCTCCTGCTGCCTGGCCGCTTTCCAGATGAGCTGCAGGCTCTCACCTGACTCCTCCCAGCCCCTGGCCCATCACCAAAGAGGCAGATAATTACTCACCTCCCTTCCCAGGTATTCCCCCGCCCCTCACAACAGAGCCCAACTCCCATGGGAAACCAGTAGGAATTTAGTGCTTAACTCCCAGCTGTGCACGCCTGCAAAAGTCGTCCCCTGCTCAGAGAGAACTGGGAAGCACCGACAAGGAGGAAAGATGCAGAACAAGGGCACAGGGGACCCAGGCATGGGTGCAGGGGAAGGGCTTGTATACAAGAGGAGGTGAACAAGACAGACGATGCTGGTGGATTTAGGCAGCCCGGCCCCAGAGCAACCTGCCACAGTTCTCTCCACGTCTCAAGCTGCTGCAGGGACTCTACCGTGCACAGGTCACACAGGGCAGCCGGTTTCAGTGCTGGAGCATACGACACACACACAGTCTGGCTAGTTCAATCCGCTTGCCCCTGCCCCTTGGCATCAGCCTCCATCCAACTGCTGCATTCCACTCTTACCTAGGATAACCCTCCAACAAGGCAGGCTTCCGGGACGCTCCTGGCCACGCTGATTAAAGCCTTCGCTTCCCCTCTGTCTGCCAGTGAACTAATTCCCGTCTAACCCGGGGACGGGTCGGGCTCAAGCGTGAGGCGAGGCAAGCGCATTTCAGGGGCAGACGGCTGCAAGGAGGGAGCGCTGCTCTGGCATCCTAATGAGGTGGATTTATACCCACCCACATGGAGAGGGATTTGCTGTCTGGGGAACGAACTGAGATGACCGGGTCGGAGATCTGGCCCTGGGAAGGCAGGCAGGAGGGCGGGGGGCAGACCGGAGACTCATGCTGAGATCCAGGGTCAGTTCTGGCTCTCTTCTCCACAGTGGGGTTTGGACTGAAACTTTCAAACCTGGAGTGTCAGAAATGAGCTTCCTAAATTCACGCGCAGGCACCTCGCTCCTTGTGGCCTGGTGAGCAGAAGTGCCTGAGCACCTCCGAATTCCACTGACGGCAATCGGGGCTGCGGGGACTCCGCACCTCGGCAGCCCAGTGCACTTCCTCTCTCCTAGGCGGCTTTGCCTATTTGGACATGAAGCCCTCTGGAGCAGAGACTGTCTCTTGTTTGTACAGCACCTAGCGCCGCAGGGCCCGTGGGTACGACTGGAATCCAAACATTGGTCGTTTCTATTTAGGAGCCTCATGAGGTGTTGAACAGCTTTGCTTTAGGACCAAAATCTTCACCTCTCTTCTTATCCAGATTATTTCCAACATCTGAACGCAGAGGTCTCTTCAGAGGGCAAACATCTACAAATATCGCATGAGTAAACATTTAGCCCAGCTCTAACACTCCCCTACCGCACACACCCCGTCTTCAACGACCTGTCCCCACGTCCATTCTTGTGTCTACACAACGTCGCCAAGGAGAAACTGAGGCACAGAACAGGTCACGGTCACACGGAGTTGGTCAGAAAGCTGGAGGGAAGAGAAGAGTCAAGAACTCCGTGGCTGTGAGGTTTCTGTCCCTCCTCCCCAGCCCCAGCGAAGGCAGAACATTAGAGATAATAAGGTTAGAAGGCTTTTATCTCACAGCATGCTCCCTCTGGGATGGGCTTTTTGAGCATGGCTCTTTCAGGCTCTGGGTAAAGAGTGGAATGGTGGTGCCCACCACGGACAAGTAGGAGTTCTCAGGGCTGTGTACCCAACACAAGGGTGCAGGTGCTGACCAAGAGGGTTTTCCCCCCGGGCTTCGCTAAAATACCACTCCCACACTGCTGCACGAACGCTCTGATCCTGCTGGTAAAAGCATCGTCCTTTAGCTTGCCATTGACTTCACTCCTAATCGTCTGGACACCGGGCTGGAAAAATAACCCCGGCACTGGATCCAGAGGCTTGGGCACTTCTCTCCAAATGCCACCCAAATTTGGAACAGCCCAGATCTAAACTCTGTGCCTTGAGCTCATCTCTGGGTTTTAGCCCCCGTGGCTGAGATCTGACCTTCAGACTGACATGGTCCTGAAGTGATTATTTCTTAACTGCACCATTCCCGTTCTGATCTCCACCCGGGTCTTCGGTCTCTCTTATGCAGGAGCCATTTTTGGCTTGAACTACTCTTTAAAACACCAGCGTTTCAGCCCCTGACTATAGTTTAAAGAGCAGTTTAAAAATAAAACGAGACACTGCTAAATAGAACAGGAGAGTGTACATAACAGCTGTCTAACTAGCCCATTGCATGTCTTAGACTCCATACTGTTAACAGTCAGCGAGATTCCCCAATAGCTCACGAACCTCATGCCTCTGAGCACAAGGACCTGCGGTCCATCCCTGCTGGTCCCACGATTTTGTATCACCATGGGCATAGTGACAGCTGTGTGAAGTCCTTGGAGGCCCAGAGTTACACTGTTTTCAAAGACAACAAGCAGGATGCAAGGCAACACATACTGTATTGTTCTGCAGCCTTTACTAGCTAGAGTGGAAAACAACATCTGCTTGGAGAACGGCAGCTCATCCCACATGCCGGGGCTTGAAGGAATGGAATGTAAACACTGAAAATTCACCTTCCCTGGAGTCTCTCCAAAGGCTGCAAAAACCACCAAGTCATCCAGGGAAAAAGAAAGACAAAAAGAGTAGGAAGGCAGAAGAATGTGTTGGAAAGTCAGATTCTTCCCTCTCTAGCTGGCAGAAGCAATCTCTTCTGGACAATGGTATCATGGAACAATAACAGAGCCCATTGCTTCGTGACACTGACATGCCTGCCTCCTAAAGGGAGCACCGGCTGTCCCTGAAAACCTGCCAGGAAAATACATTGCAACATACTCGACAATCATCGTCAAACATTAACAGAGCGCTACCAGCCCCGTCCCCAGCCAAATCCGGCCCCTTTCCCTGCGTTTGCAAATGGCAACGATATTCCACGCCCTGCAGAGGGAAGAGCGCTCCAGCGACCACGCCTTCTGGGCTGATTTCTTTCTTTGCAATCACATCCACCAGTTTTCATCACCCCCGCATCAGAGAAGTCGCTGTGTTTGGTCCACACTGGGATTAGCCCTCAGGAGGTCACACACAACTTAGCACAAGCCAAAGGGCATCATGCTTGACAGAGTCCACGGGCCATGGTGAACCGGGACCACACGTCCTCTTTCATGCTGAGCAGTTACCCCCATATGTCCTGACACTCTTAGTGGGGCCCAGCTCGTAAGTGGGTGAAAGCAGGATTGACGTCCGCAGAGCTTCACAGGCTGGCACCGAGTCTGAATGGGTCCTTGTGACTCAGTTTCCTGCCTCACTAGTCATGTGGGCACAGAATGGGCAGTGGCCCACGAGCAGAGACATGAGAGGGCTTTGGAAGGAGATTCCTCTTGGTTTTGATGTAACTCTTGGGGCAGGCTTGGTACATTTCCCCCAATATTTGTCTCCCTCCTTGGTTAGAGTCCGTTTTAAGGAGCTCCTGGTCATTTCTGCCTATGAACCATCATCCCTAGCTTATGGTTTAAAGTTCTCCACCTCTGCAGCCTCCTCAACTCTAAGCCCCATCTGTTTCCAGGTTCCCTGTTACCAGTTCTCCATTGCTCCCCAAACCTAAGCCTTTCTGCCAGGCAGTTTTACAACCATTGGTAAGACCTGTGATTATTTCCAGTAGGAGTATTGGAGTATTGTGTCCAGTTCTGGGCACCGCATTTCAAGAAAGATGTGGAGAAATTGGAGAAGGTTCAGAGAAGAGCAACAAGAATGATTAAAGGTCTAGAGAACATGACCTATGAAGGAAGGCTGAAAGAATTGGGTTTGTTTAGTTTGGAAAATAGAAGATTGAGAGGGGACATGATAGCGGTTTTCAGGTATCTAAAAGGGTGTCACAAGGAGGGAGAAAACTTGTTCTTCCTGGCTTCTGAGGATAGAAGCAATGAGCTTAAACTGCAGCAAGGGAGGTTTAGGTTGGCCATTAGGAAAAAGTTCATAACTGTCAGGGTGGTTAAAAACTTGGGGTATGTCTAGACTACATGGCTCCATCGACAAAGCCAGGTAAACTAGTTTACCTGGCACAGGCAAAGAAGCAGGGATTTAAATAATCCCTGCTTCATTGAAATAAACATGGCCGCCACGCTGTGCCGACGATCAGCTGATCCGGCACAGCGCGGCAATCTAGACGCGGATCTGTCAGCTGGGGAAGCCTTTGCCGACCAATCCCTTATGCCTCGTGAAACTTATCCCTTTGTCTATGCCAGGTAAACTAATTGACATGGCTCCATCGACGGAGCCATGTAGTCTAGACATACTTTTGAATAAATTGCTCAGGGAAGTTTTGGAATCGCCATCTCTGGAGATATTTCAGAGTAGGTTAGATAAATGTCTATCAGGGATGGTCTAGACAGTGCTGGGTCCTGCTATGGGGGCAGGGGACTGGACTCAACCTCTCGAGGTCCCTTCCAGTCCTAGTATTCTATGATTCTATAAAGGGGATAAGCCGATTGCTTGAGGGAGGTCAGGAACGCTTCTGACACTTACACTGCATGGAGCAACTGGCTATGCCCATCTTTTGCCTTCATGTGAAGCATCAAACACGGGATTGACAGTCCTGACCCGGCATGGCAGGCCAGCGGCCAAGGAGCATGGGGAAAGGGGAGAGCACGATGCCTGTCAATCAACCAGATTGGAGATATCTACAGTTAGATGTGTCACATTTCCCTATTGGCGAGCATCAGAGAGATCCGGCACAGGAAGGAACAGAGATGGGGAAGGTTACTGACCACAGCCCAGGCACCACTGCACCCGGGCGGGTTTCTTTTGTCTCGCTGGAGAAAACAACTTGCAAGGGAGAGGTATAGGAGAAAAGACTCTTGTATGTGATGGACCCTCCACTGGACTCAGGACCTTTGCCTCATCTTCTATGATCTTGCTGGTGGAAGAGAACATACAGGCCAACAGAACCAGCCAACATGCCCGGACTCAGCAGTAGGCAAAGGAACCAACACCTCCCTCCCCCGTGCCACCTCTCAGCTTTCCCACAGGCGCTTTGTGCTCAGGTCAAAGGAAGGCCCATGCACCCCCCACAGCACGCGGCCCGAAACAGCCTGTTCTTGAGGACCGACTCACTTACTCCCTTAGTTTGCAGAGCACCCGTGGGTAGGGCATTGGAGCCAGTGACGCACACTCTAATCCCACCGCTTCCAGGCTGGGGGTGCGGCAGCCCCCCTCGCTCCTGCCCCTCTGCCCAGCATCCAGGGGGAAATGGAATAACAGCTGCACTTTCCAAGGCAGCTGCAGTCCGCTAGGCTCACAGCAGCCTTGGAAAGACTCTCTGCTGCTGACAGCCACTCCTCTGATGGGCTAATCCAGCTCCATGCTCTCCAGTCCAGCCCCCCACGTCTCCCCACACACAGTGCTGCTGATAGGTATTTGTTAAGGGAAGGGGGCAGCTAAGTGGCTGGCTGGGGGGGGAAGGGGGGTTGGTAATAAATGATCAATAATTCAGTGCCCCTTCTCTGGGCAAGGCAGGACTGTGGATTAAAGGGGGGGGCGGCTCTGGCCGCAGCACAAAAGAAGCGTTGCAAAAGGGGGGGGGTCTTCCCGGAGGGCCCAACTGCTACTCTTTGCTGATCACAGATACAACCTCCCCCCCTCCGCCCCCGCCTAGTCTCTGTGCAAAAAATCATCCCAAGGGAGACAAGACCCATGGGG